TGAGGATCCTGGCTCCTGGTCAGCTCTGTCATACATCTGTAGGTTTTTGTATGCCACGTACCATGTTTTATTGAAATTGTCTCTTTCCACCTTATAGTCCGTAACATTTCCAAAAAATTCTTGCATCTCAGGTATGATGGTTTGGAAATGTAGGTACAAAGATGAGTAAGAATGAGTAAAATAAATAATGACAATACTAGCTTGGAGTGACATCGACTAGAAGTAGCATAAGAAACTCCAGGTTCTTATTCTCCCACAGAGACATTGAAAAAACAAGCCAACAGAAGCTGAATCTGCTTTGTAGGAACTCTGGAAAAAAGTCGAAGGTTTATAGCAACCAAGTTAAATGCCCAGTGCAAGGTAAAGAAGTCCTCAAAACGGTAGGAAACTTATGTGGTATTTACCCTTACCTTTGCCCCACACTCTCTCTAGCACACCTCAACTTGGAGGGAGCAAAGAAGACTTTATTTGCAAATCATTGTGTTCCCAAATGTAACCTTTCTGGGCATACCTGAAGAACTAACACAAAATGTTTGACTTTGTCTCACATAACTTGCAAGTCAGGTGGGAGAAAGCACCTTTGTAGCAGCAGGCACCATTTGTAAAAGCCACGAGGGGAAGACAAACCCACAACTGCTTGAAGAGATTCTGGATGGAGACCACAGGTCACTAAGACCCAGAGGAGAAACTGTAGTAAGGCCCAGAAATTAGGACCTGCCTAACATCTCAGGGTGCTCCTTGCTCTCAGAGCAAGCCTGGCTGAGGGGTGAGGGAGAACCCCTGCCCAGAGCAAGTCTGCAGAGACTTGGAGAGGGGGCTGTTCTCCTTTTTGGTTTTCTGGGACTTGGGGGCAAGGGTAGTATTGTTTGTTTCAGCTCTTGGTGTTGAAATCTCTTTCATTATTAGCTAATAAAGATATCAGGGAACCTCAGGAAAGTTGAAAAGAAGCTTAAAACACTAAATATTCAATGAAATGCCAGAAGCACATAGGCCACTGCAAAATTATTAATGGCCACACAGGTATTCTCATTGGATACTTTGTTCATGAATGCAATTTTGGCTTTGGTGTGTGTGGTGTCACATACTGTTGCAGTTTCTGAGAACCAGTGGATGGTTGCTGCATGTGGACTTACTGTCTTGTTTACACAAATTGGATAGCTCCACAGGACTGAATGAAAAAAGTCAATCTCAAAGGGTCTCCTACTGTATATTTCTATTTATATAAGTCTTCAAATGACAAAATCATGGAAATGGAAAACAGATGAGTGGTTGCCAGACATGGGGCAGGGGCCGGGGTGGATGTGATTCAAACAGGCAGTAGGACAGAACAGTTCTGTATGTGGATTGCAGTAGTGATTACAGGAATCTTCACATGTGATGTCTTCACAATGTGATTAAAAAGAAAAACCACACACATATAGTTTACAGATGTCTCTCTGTGTCACAGTTATGGACGATCTCACCATTGGGCGGAACTGGGTAATAGGTTACTGAAACAATCACATGATGAAGCCTTACTGTAGTTGGAACTTATTATCCCTGCCTCTGGAGGGGAGTCTTAGATTTGGCTAAGAGGTTTTGAATAGAAACAGACAACAGCACATACCTAGATCTCCTCTAAGCCCAAGATTCAGTAACCTCTTCCTGGGTAGGATGAAGAAAACATAGCTCTGTCAGCAACTGAATTCAACCAAATGATTTTCTGGAAAGCACAAGTTGAAACCCAATCTAGAATATAAAAATGCACATTCATTTATTCAATAAGCTCCTTTCAAGTACCTACTAAATATCATTCATTGCTAGAACTGAAACTATAAAGATGAATAAATGATCCTTGTTTTCTAGGCTAGAATTTAAGCTCCACGAGAGCATAAATTTTTGCCTGGTATATTCATACACCCTCCTCTAATCTTTAGGCTAGTATCTGTCACATAATAGGTGCTAAATAAAAATTGCTGAGTGAATGGATTCTTCCAAAGAGTTTAGTCTGAAAGACATTTCAAAATGGATGTGAGACTAAATAGGACAGTAACATGTGATAGATGCTGTAGCAGTTTACTTTTTTTCCTTTCAAAAAACCCTTTGCTCCATCTTAAAATAAGAATATAAGTTTAAGAATTGTTTAGGAAGAGCTCCTAACTTGGACCTTATCGAGCCTAGGGACCAGCTGTTTTGGACGGTTACTTAAACTAAACTTTCACTTGCTGGAGGTTGTTCTCTACTCTTGAACCTTCTTGGGACACATTGTCTTTTCCAACTGGCACAAGCAGCTGCCTGTGAAACTTACCTAAGGTAGTTGGTCAGATCAAAGCTTCATTAGGAATGGGTGAAAGTGGTCCAAAGACATACTTCCAGTTACAAATAAGGCATGGGGTGTAACGTATGGCATGGTGGCTATAGTTAATAACACTGCATTCATATTTGAAAATTGCTGAGTAGATTTTAAAAGTTTTTATCACACACACAAATTATATATATGGTGACATGCTAACTAGACTATTGTGGGGATCATTTGTCAATATATATAAATATTGAATCATTGCTATACATTTGAAACTAATGTCAAGTGTCAACTATACTTGAATGTATAGAACATTTACCTCTTTGCCACTGTGTTGAGGAATAGAAGAAAAATAATTTCCATTATCTGGGGCTATGTACCTTAGCTGCTTTTAGGTTCTAAGAAACAAATTGGATATATTAATGTGTTGACAACACTGTACTGACCAACACGAGTCCTGGAGAAGGCTGCACAATGCAGGATGCTGCTGAAAGAGAAAGCTCCTGGCCTTTTATTGATAGAATAATAAAGCGTCAATTATGCAGGAGTAGAACAAAGAAAAAATACAGGAGAAGCTGAACAAATGTGCACATGTAGCTAGGGTTTCCAGGAGGAAGGTGAGTGCTGACATTCACTTGAAGACTTGATATTGAGATGAAAACCATAACCCAGACCCTCTATTCATGGTTCCAATCTTACTGACAAGGCTTTTCACAGCTATCAGCAGTCTCTGGGAGGGCAGGGTCATCCATCAGTCAGTGTCCCTTCTCTGCCTCCTTTTTCCTGGTCGTACTTTGTGATGCATACCCATTGTTCCAGGATGATGGACGAAGCATCCTGCTCTTGTTAAATTTGAAAGGAGCCTTGTAACTAATTGACTGCTCTGCACTGACGCATTTGAATGCTGAATTGCACGTAACCAAGATGGTAGCCAAGCAGGCCATTTAAGTCTGGCAGACACAAAGGTTAAGTTTACCTTCAGAAGTTTCTTGTAAAGAATGAATCTCAGCCTTCCTGGAAATGAGACATTGTTGCAGGTACTATAGCAACTTCAGTGTTAGCTTTTTGTTCTCTGGTTCATCTGTTACCAACTACAGTGTTTTCCTTTTTGATGAGACAGCTTCTCTTTTCAACCATTTCTCATGTGACTGTAAACTAATTCATTCTCTTATTTTTCCTAGCTTAGTACTTAAGAGAAAGTATCAGATTAGAGTCTCTGGTCATCCACTTGGGCAAAGCTCCCATGCCTTTCCTCTAAGGCACCTTAGCCAGTCTTTGGGTGGGAAGCTGGTCCCTGGTTATAGTCATTTGTAACCAGGTTTCGGTGTCTTATCTGAATTATAGTGATCCTACTGAAAGAACCTTCTGCAGTTACTCTTCTTAGAAGGGAAATGTGTGGGATATTCAGAGCATCGTATATTACTATTAGTTGACTACTGTGAGCTTTCAAATGGAAGTAGAAAGTGCTGCATCTCTAGAGGATGTATTTCTGGCCTCCAAAAGGAATAGCCCATGATTAACCAAAACAATCAAATTATCTCTACTTGTTCTGGTTCCACAGCCTTTTGTAGAAGAGAGTGTTTGAGAAAACTGGCAACTCAGGTATATTATACTTCTGATTTTCAACCCTTTGATTAGATTCTTTATAGCTTTTACTATAATTAATGAAGTATAGTATACTAAAGGGAAATAATCAAAATATTTACCTGGAATGTATACATGTAGCTGAACCATTAAATAAGATTAGAAAAAAGAAAATAATGGATTGTGAACTGCAGTCTAATCTCAAGTACAGGAGTTGGGATGCAGCTAGGAGTGTGTGTCTCTCTGCAGCTATAGTGAGGCTTCAGCTGATAGAGTAAGCTAAGACTCAAAAGACCTTAGTAAGGGTTTTATGTGTGAGGACCTTTAGGGATTGCATATTTTCCTAGAGGCCAAGTGCCTGAAGAATGACATTTTGCAGGTGGTCGGTATATACCTATTTGACCCTTCAAAAAAATTGGTTGGGAAATATTGATAATAAACTGGTTTCTAGTATTTGTTGAAACACATAGAAAATCAAATGCTAGTTCTGCAAGGGATTATTATGCAAATAGCACATCTTGATTTCATCAGTAGCTTCATTCAACTTAGCATCATGAGAATGAGCCTGTTATTACTGTTTCATTTTAACAAAGACTGGTGGAAACCTCTTCTCATGGTTGGGAATCACTGGGTCAGATACATGGGTAATGCAGCAAGGTGCAGACTCTTAGCTAGTTGATTAGGGTCCCCACGTAGTGCTGATGCTCTCCTGAAGGACATACTTGGGGGCCGTGTCATGTGGCACCTACAGGGCCTTTGCTGGACTGGAAGCCTAGAGGAGAGGGGAGAGGTGGGCGGAGGAATGACAGGAACACCCATGTGGGTCTGGGTGATAGATGTTGAAAGGATTAACAATGACTCTTAAGCAAGAAGGAACTTCTTAGACCTTTACAGGGATTTTGTTCTGGGACTAAGATGGAAAGTGAATTCTCAGAGCTTTCCCCTTGATTCTTTCCAGTGAAGGCCACACTGAGACACAAAGCAGCTGACTTGCTGTATCTCAGACTGTTTTGGAATATGTTTTCCCATTCTCTGTGGTTCATGATTGCAGCTCACACAGAAGGGAAAAAGCTGACCTTTGTCCCAGGGTTCTCTGCTGTTTTAGTTGCATTGTTTCTCATTTTTTTCCCCTCAGGCTGCTTGATAGGAGCTGTGAATCTCAAATCCAGCAACCGAACCCCAGTAGTACACGAATTTGAAAGTAAGTACAAGGGAGACTGTGAGGGGAATGGGCACCATCTCATGGACATTTGTTAGTCTTGCAGCGGACTCAGGAGGAGCAGATGCACTCAGGCCTGCCTTGCTTCACTGTGTGCTACAGATACTGCTGCAGATATGTATTTTTTAACAAATCCAGGATTTGTGGCAGGTCTGCTGGTGCCATTTTCCAGGAGCAGGTGTTCACTTGTGTCTGTCACATCTAATTAAGGTGTGCAAATGGCTTTCTAGACAGAATGCTTAATAGACTACAGCACAGGGCCTCCCCCGTGGCGCAGTGGTTGAGCGCTGGCTTGCGAAGCTGCCCACAGCCTCTGCAGTGCTGGTTCTATCCCCGGCCGCCGGGCGAAGGTCCTACATGGCGCGCAGACCTCTCCTGCCGCCCGCTGCTCACCTCAGCAGTGTATTTCATCAGTCTGCCTGCTCTGCTCTCCCCTCTGGCTCTGGTGAATTCTCTCACCCTCCCGCGCTTCTGACTGTAGCCAGTGCTTGTATAAATAAATAAACCTTTAAAAAAAAAAAGACTACAGCACAGTGTAACCATAATTTTTATATGTACCATGAAACCCTGAGATCCCTGTGACTTGCTTTATTGTGACCTGTGCTGTATCGTAGCGGTGTGGAGCTGACCCTGTAGACTGAGGTGTGGTGCACACGCCCAGAGCTCGCCAGGTGGCGCTCACTCACAGCGCACTGATGTGCAGGCGGTGGCGCTGCTTTGGCAGAGAACTCTGGGCAGCCCTTCCATTCCTGCTGGCCTTGTGTCCACGCAACAAAATGTTTGTGTAGAAGCAGAGTATTAAGGGGGCACTTGTAAAAGACCTTGGTAATCATCATCATCGTTATTTTTTGAGTGAAAAATTACCTTAAAGTCTCTTTGAGCCTGGTAATAGCTAGACTTTTAATCTGCATGAAAGCGCTGAGACCAGAAATATAAAACAGGGCTTGGGTTAATAAATGAACCAAAAATTATTACACATTGACAAGAGTCCTTTTTTTCTGTCCTGTTCAGGTGTGGAATTGTCCTGCATCATCACGGATTCACAGACAAATGATCCCAGGATTGAGTGGAAGAAAATTCAAGATGACCAAACCACTTACGTGTTTTTTGACAACAAAATTCAGGGTATGACCCTGCGGGTCCTCTCTCCTGTACACAAGGCTCAGGCTCACCCTGGTGGCTCTCTGTGGACTATTCTAGTCAGGATTGCTGTTTCGTTTTGTTTTACTTAGGGAAAATTCTAACCCATGCAAGATAATAAATAGTATGCTGAACTTCCCTGTACCTGTCACCTAGCTTCAACAACTAGCAGCTCATTAATTAGGATCTTAATTTATCTGCAACCCATCTTTTTGAGGTATCAGTAAACATTTTCCTTAGTCATCATCTTGCCTTGATCCGTGACATTTAGTGATACAAGCGAGTTAATCAGAAGGATCATAAGGAGCAGCAAGAAGCCAACAAGTAGTCACTGGGCATCTGCTGTGTGGGAGGCAGAGCACATAGAGAAGGCACTTGTTGCACACATTAGCAGGATCTCGTCCCCAGGCTACAGCATGGGGACTACATTGCTCTTGGGTTACATGAAGTAGGAGAACGGTGGTCAGGGAAGGCTTTTCAAAAGTGGTAATCTTGGCAGAAGGAATGATGGAAGAAAGCCGGGTGAGGTAGTGAGGGGTGGGGTGGGGAAAGATGTTGGGTAAGAAAGAACAATGTGTGTAGCAATGTGGAAGCAAGAGGAAGCTTGGCCTGGAGAGATTGTAAGTTCACCACCACAATCGTTTGAGACGCTGCTGAAAGCTCTTAAGAGAGAAGTCCATGGTCATGATTATATTTGGGGACTGAGTTGGCTGCTTTGTAGAGAAGAGGTTAGAGGTGGGCAAAACATGGAATAAGGGCACCAGTTCTGCAAAACCCAGGAATGCTGGTGGGCTGAGCTAAGGTCAAGCTCAGGGCAGTACAGAGTGATTAGAGGGTTACTAGGAGTTGGCTGTGACAAGGGAGGAGGAGGATGGGGTGACAGATGGCAGGAAGTGGGACATGAATGATCGTCATCCTGATGGGAAGGAAGGAGTAAACGTGAGGTACAAGTGCTGGTAGGTCATCATTGTGCTTCAGAGTCCACAGAGAAGTTGAAAGTTGAGGTTTCAGGGGATGAAAGAGATTTTGTGGAAGCCTAAACTTGGAGTCTTTCTGCTTTGGGTTCACAATCATCAGGAATCATAGGCTTTTAAAAATTGTTTTGTTTCCTCACTAGTATCCTCCCTCACCTCTTATCTGCTAAGAACATTTCATTCCCTTCAAAATAACAAATGTACTTTCTCTTGCAACTTAGGCTGCTCCCAGTCAACCCTATATATGCAATTTTAATCATCAGAGAAACCCAAGTGGGAATTGTGTTTCTGGGACTTATGTCCTTTACTCTTGGCTAGAGGGTTGAGAGAGTACTGAGCACACAGAATATGAGGGCTGGAGGTCAGTGCAAGTCTGCTTGGTCTCTTCTCTTGCCTCAGCACACAACTGTTCCAACAGCACTCCAGTAGAGTTTAGCTTACTGTTTTCTTACATGGTAGAAATTCTAATCCTCTACTCGTGACTGGGTAGCAAACCTTTCTATTAGAAAATGCCTTTGGGAATATTCATCCTCTATCATAAATGCTTTGCTGTTTTTGTTAAATTATGGTAAGTTCTTCCCATACTTACCACTAATTGGCAGGTTTAGTGGTAGTTTATATATTTTGTGGAATTTTTTTCTCACTCTTCCTTTCTCATTTTCCAGGTTCTTTATTCTGCTTTGAAAGAGCTACTATGTCTTTTTAACACTTAAAAAATTTCACTAAGTTGGGGGGTGGGGGGCGGGAGGGGAGTGATTGGGGTCAGAATGGGGGGGTTGCAATTGTATGGGGAATATAAAAATAAAATTTATTATTTAAAAAAAAATTTCACTAAGTTATTCATATAGCATAAAACCCATTCACTGAAGTATGTGACTCAGTGGTTGTTAGTATATTCCAAGAGAGGTACAGCCATCACCCCTATCAAATTCCAGAACATTTTCATCAGCCCAAAAAGAAACCGTGTCCATCTGCAGTCACTCCCCAGCCCCTGGCACTGCTGAAGTACCTGCCATCTCTGCGGGCTTGCCTGTCGTGGGTGCTTCATCTAAATGTAATTAGGACTTTTTTATGAATAATACCCTGTTGTAGATAATGACATTTTTAAAAATCCATTTATCAGTTAGTGTACATTTGTATGGTTTTCACTCTTTGGCTATTAACAATAACGATCCTATGAACATTAATGTACACGTTTTTATATGAACAAACGTACATTTTCACCTCTTGGAGATAAATAGCTAAGTCACATGGTACTTGTGTGTTTTTTTTTTTTTTTTTTTTAAAGAAACTGCCAAACTGTTTCCCAAAGTGATGGCACCATTTTACATTCCTTCAGCGGTCTAGTATCCCTGACCGCTGACACTTGAAATTGTCCATGTTTTGATTCCAGCCATCCTAGTGGGTGAGACGGGATCTCACTGTGGTCTTCACTTGCATTTGCCTACTGTCTGATGTTGAGCATCTCATGTGCTGTCAGCCATTTGTTTATCTTCTTTGGAGAAATGTCTACTCAAATCCTTTGGGATTTTTTCAAATATGCTTTTCAAATATTTTCTCCCACACTGTGGATCGTCTAATTGCTGTGTCCTTGAAGCACAAAAATTCATGTTTTATGAAAGTCTAACAAAAGCCAGTATAACTATTTGTTTTTGTGTTTGTGCTTTTGATGTCATATCTAAGAAATAATTGCTTAATCAGTCCAATGTGATGATTTATATGTTTTTTTCCTAAGAGTTTCATAGTCGCAGCTCTTACTGCCAGGTCCTTGTTGTGTCTGACACTCTGCTGCATGTCGATACCTAGTGTCCTAGCGCCCTTTGTGGGGATATTGGTCGTGTTTCATGTTTGGTTTGTTTTCCCTTTAATGGGGAATCCCTGCTGGCAATGATGAAAAGGAAAGAGGTCCCTGCTTTAACAACAGAGACACTTGTAAAGAGTCCTCTTATATGCCAGGTATTATTTTGGTGCTAGGTGTCCTCAGAGAGGACTAAGATAGAAGAGGACAGAAATAAAAGCCATCTAACCATGCATCAAATACTAGCCCAGAAATCACCTTAAGTAGCAACTATCTTTAAAGAGCCTAACTAGTCTTTTAGAGTTTGTGTCTTCTTTTCTATAGGAGACTTGGCAGGTCGTGCAGAACTATTGGGGAAAACATCTCTGAAGATCTGGAATGTGACCCGGAAAGACTCAGCCCTTTATCGCTGTGAGGTGGTTGCTCGAAATGACCGCAAAGAAATTGATGAGATAGTCATTGAATTAATTGTGCAAGGTAGGAGCTCATTTGATGTTAAAACTTGGTTCACTCCATTCAGGCTTCAAGAGTTTGTCCATAGAATAAAAAAGGTCAACCTTTATTTTCTTTCCTTCTAGAGCTAGATCCTAGAGAATGTCACATGATTTAGGGAGGGGAGAGCTTTTGAGAGCTGGGACTGCAGTCTGGGTAGGAGGTGCCCACTCTCCTCCACCAGCTGTGGGAGTGCTGCTCAGGAAGGTGGAGGAATAAGAAAGGCATTGTAGGATTTGAGGGGATGCTGCAGGGGGGATATGGAGGTGACAGGGGATAGGAACCCCCTGGCTGGCTTCCTTGTTTGGGAGTGAACTTATAGTGGACTCTTACTGTAGTAGAACCATGGTGCCATTTTAAACTCCAGCGTGTTTCTCCTGCAGTGAAGCCAGTGCCTCCCCTGTGCAGAGTGCCAAAGGCTGTTCCCGTAGGCAAGGCAGCGACGCTACACTGCCAGGAGGGTGAAGGACACCCCCGGCCACACTACAGCTGGTACCGCAACGACATGCCGCTGCCGACAGATTCCAGAGCCAATCCCAGATTTCGAAATTCCTCATTCCTCTTAAACTCTGAAACAGGCACTCTGGTGAGATCTCTTCTGAGGTGGGGGTGGGAATGTCTTTGTTGGGGCAAAGGGAATTGTGGAAAGAGCAGTTATTAGGAGAGACAGTGAAACTTAAGATGGGAGCTAAAAATCAGTGCCAGAGATTTGTCTATAAAAGGACCCTTCTCACCTTTTATAAACAAGTTCTAAGGTAAGGGCATTAAGAAGAAGTAAAGGAAGGGAACCTGGACAGTAAAAGCAACTGAAAGAGGGATACAAAATGTAATCAGTGGATGTCATCAGGGCCCTGATCTCAATAACCAGACCAGCTGTAAAAATCATGAGACAGGGAATGGTTACTGACTGGATGTTTGATGCTATAGCTTGGTAATGATATTATAGTAAGAGGTTTTCTAAGAATCATCTTTTCTGGAAATACATTCTGAAGTATTTATGGATAAAATGCCCCTGGAGTTTGCGATAGAGGGACCCTGTGGTGTGGGAAATGGCGTGGGGGAAGGTGAGGTAAGCCTGGTCACGCCCAGGGGACAGCTAACCCCTCACACACCTAGGCTCCTGATCTGTGAACAGCTAATGCCAGGACTGATGAGCCCAGTTTATCAAGGTGTCTCTGTATTTTTATTGCTGGGGGAGAGGGGGTAGTCTTTATCATAGTCCCTTTTCCTGAATAAAATCAAACTCAGCATCTCCTTATACACACTGCTTTGCTTTGACAATCCCTCAACAGTGAGAATCCCCCTTTATGGTGATACCAGGCAGGAGTACCTAGAGTCAGGAGTGCACTGGATAGTGACCGGAATGCTGAAAAGAAACCAAGAGCAGGGGCCTCCCCGGTGGCACAGGGGTTAAAGACAATGCTATTAAGCTACTACAGCACAATCCCAGCTGGCCAGGGAGCAACCCACATGGCGCAGCAGGCCTCTCCTGTCTCTCCCGCTGCTCCCCTCAGCAGTGTATTTCAGTCAGTCTGCCTGTTCTGTTCCCCACTCTGTGTCTGGTGAATCCTCTCACCCCCTGCATCTTGGCTTACACCCCAGTTCTTGTATGCATAAATAAATCTTAAAAAAAAAACAAAAAACAAAAAAAAAAAACACCAAAAACCAAGAGCAAATGGACATGTACCAGGCTCTGGGCTCAGCGTGGGGGAGGATAAGCCCTGCCTGTTCTCACGATTGTTGTTTCCTGAGACAGGTGTTCAGCGCTGTTCACAAGGACGACTCTGGGCAGTACTACTGCATCGCCTCCAACGACGCTGGCTCTGCCAGGTGTGAAGAACAGCAGATGGAAGTCTGTGAGTCACTTTTGGAAACAATTTTATCTGGCAGTAGTGAGTAGGATGTGAATTTACTGACATACCATCAGTTTAGACAGCTGTTCTGTCGTGGGTCAGCTTTGTTCTAGAGCTGACTAGATTTACCTACATCCATTTGGGTACATTGAACGGAAAGGTGAAAAAATTCTGAGTAAAAGCTAAAAAACAAAAATGGACTTTCTGGAGACTTCTGTTGTTAGAAAACATAGCTAATCATGTATCTTTTGAAAGAGATTAATAATTATCAAAACATAAGATCATGGAAAGTCTCTAGAAATTCTTCCAGTTCCAGTCATTTTGCAGTAAGCAGAAACCAAGTTTTAGCCCCAACAATTTTCCCCTGTTCCATAATGCTGTTTTGGGGCTAAAGGGAGGAATTGAGGGCAAGATGGCCAGATGGGGCAGGTCACGGACACTCACTGAGCAGAGTCCCTTCCTCCCTGCGTGTGGCCCTACCCGGAGCGGAGCTTCCTAACTGACCCTAGAATCATCCAGGTCCGCTGGTTTGCATCCAGATCCCAGTGCACATGTATGAACTCAACCCCAGGGGAGGTCTGGGAGTGCCCATGTGTGAAACAGCATTCCTGGGATTCCTGTCAACTGTCAAAATTTTGCAAACTCTAGGGTAGGAGAAAGTTCCTGGGTTTTGCCTCAGACCTATCTATTCTCTTAGGATAGAGCTTGGGAATTGACATTTTAAAATCAAAACTTCAGTTTTTAAACATATACTCATATTTGAGAGCCACTGCTGTAGGAAAAGGAAGAATTTGAACACCTTTCAAGTTTTTTGATTTGTATTTGCATGAAGGAAATAGGCCCCATATCCCTATACTGAAGGCGAACCACGACCTCTGCCCAGTACACCAAAAGGAGAACTAAAGGACTTGCAGATCCGAGGTCAGAAAACTGACAGGGTGAAAGGACATTTTCACCCTGTATTTAAATATGCTTGAAACTAGCTTTCCTTTCCCAAATAATCTGCAGCAAAGAGAAGCCCTGCAAATGAGGATTTTTTTCCCCCTGGCACCTAATTCTATCATGTAACCATTTCATCTACTAATAATATTCTCTGAGATTTAGCCAGAGGGTCTTTAAGGCCTTTATACAATACCAACCCCTTTTAGTAATTACTGGTGTGTGAAGTTGGAGCTTTTAGAGTATGTAGACATCTCAGCACTTTTTACAACCAGGAATCTGAATGTTCTAAGCCAGAGCTGGTGTTCTTATTTTCTCGGGCTGAGGTAGGCATGAGGGAGCAGTGGAATGATGGAGGAAGAAAGGAGACCCCTAGGGTCAGGGTGTTTTGTGAGAATAGGTAGTGTCTTCTCCCTCAAACCTCCTTTTCTCCAGATGACCTGAACATTGGTGGGATTATTGGGGGCGTCCTGGTTGTCCTTGCCGTCCTGGCCCTGATAACAGTGGGCATCTGCTGTGCATACAGACGTGGGTACTTCATCAACAACAAACAGAATGGGGAAAGGTAAGCCTGTGTTCGGTGGAAACAAAAAAGTTCAGTTGGAATTGATGTGGTGACCATGAGTTCCTGAACTATTCTTTTCTTGTTTCAGTTACAAGAATCCAGGGAAGCCAGATGGAGTTAACTATATCAGGACAGATGAGGAGGTAAGGTGTGAGAGGCCAGAGCAGGCAGCATTGAGGAAACCTAGGATGTAGCTGTTCCCAGTGGGGAACACGACATTCCTACTTGGAAACCCTGAGGTGCCCTGCAAAAATAAGATGTCTGAATTATCTTCCAGATCCCCTGAGCTCTTGAGCCCTTCATAGTAATACATGTGCATACGCATGGCATTCAGCTTGCAAGTTCTAGTACATTTATATTTAAGGTCTGATTGTTTCACTTGTTTTTTTCTGTAAGTTTCTTCTTCAGGGAAGTGGCACATTAGTCTTGCCCTCCACGTTTCCTTTCTACTGTGTCTGGACTGATAGAGAATGGCAGAATTTAATTTGTGTTGCCTTGCAGGGTGACTTCAGACACAAGTCCTCATTTGTGATCTGAAATTAGACGGTGTGACCAAGAGAGCACATGCAAATACCTCTACAGAAACTGCCACAAGAGCAGCGGGAGCAAAGTGCACTTGGACGGAGCTAGACACTCACGCAAAAGCTTTTTGTTTTGGCCAAAGTTGACTGCTACTCCTTTCTTACTTTTTAACAAGCCACATAAATAAAAGAGTTTTCCTCAAGATGGGCATGGTCTTCACAAGGACAAGAAACTGAGTGGGATCCTAGGTTCTCTCTGGCCTGACTGCCACCTGCGTGTCGGGGAATTTTGAAGCCCTTGCTCAGACATGCTGGGCCTGGCACTGTGAGGCCAATGTACTTGCCACTCACTGGCAGCAGCTAGCGTGAGCCCCTGTGGGGGAAAACAGGGGAGCTGTGCAGGGCTGGGAAATGCATCACAGCGTGGAACCCTGCAGGTCTAGTCTTTGAATCAGTGAATGATCCAGAAAAGAGGCTTTTTATGCCGTGACCTTGTTGCAGGGTGGTCCACAGAGAGCACTGTGTCCTTTTCTCCTGAAAAGCTTTGTAGTGTCCCTCTTGGAAAATATTTTTGGATCAGTATTTTAATAAAAGCAGCCAAAAATCAGTAAGCTAAATTGCTTGTTGGAAGAAGGGATCTTCTTACCTGTAGGAATCCTCCTTGTCCAATGGAAGGTTCCGGTATTTAAGGAAAACCTTCACTTTAGGCTAACTCTGAAATGGTACTGAAATAAGGTTCTGATTTTTCTATGGGTGTTTATTTTATAAAATATTACATTCTAAATTTTTGCTAAAGATGTATTTTGATTATTGAAAAGAAAATTTCTATTTAAACTGTAAATATGTTGTCATACAATGTTAAATAACCTATTTTTTTCCCCAAAAGTTCAGCATAAGGTAGGAGTCCAAGCTATTAGTGTTAATTGGAAAATACCAATAATTAATCCAAGGAAGCCTCTCAAGAAGGCTTATTGGAACATTCCTTTCCCCACACACACATGTTAGCATTTTTCACAAGAGAACTTATGTTATCTATACATCAACCATTGTTCCTTAAGAAACCTTTAAAAAATTCTGAGTAATATTGAAATCTGTGCTATCTCTCTAAAAGAAACAGAAGAAGCTCTTAGGTTAGACAAAACAAACTATGCATGCCTCAGGGCGACCCGGAAGCTTAGCTACATGCCTGCATACCTGGTTAGTCAGGCCCTAGGGTTGAGTCTCCACCCATCCCCAAATGCTGCTGGCTGCTAAATTCTGAGGCTAGCCAGCACATCCACCTCTGGCTTCCAGGCCAGGCCTTTGTGCTTTAATGTAAGTGTTATTACACACGTGCCATAAGCACTTGGCTCAGCCAGGACAGTTCTAAGGTGGGCCCTTCAGGAGGCAGGGCTTCTCTGTGTGGCGTCCCAGCTCCTAGGTTCCTGGGCCAGCACTTTTTCATGTGGATGGCTCATAGAACAAAGCAGCTACTGCTATTTGGTTTTTAAATTCATTTTGCTTATTCCATATGTGTGGTTTCTAAGACTGCCCATGGTTTATAAGACTGCCCAGAGACAAAGGCAGTTTTGAAATACTGCCAATTCCGGTAATACTTTTTTTAGGAAAAGATTTCCACTATTTCTTTTTGCTACGAAGCAAGCACTGAGACTGAAGGTCTTGTCTCTCGGCAATACGCCACTTTGTGGTGGCAGTGAGGCCAGAGTTTTGAAGACTCTCAGTGCAGCCAGGGCAGAGAGCCTGACGGTGAGGAAAGTAAGACGCTCAAATCAAAGGCACTTTTCTCATTTTGATTTTACAGTTTTTACCTACCCAAGACATGCTCCCCTTGTGGGGGCCATTAGAAATATTTCAAAAGCCTTTGTTCTTCAAGAGCAGACGTTCTTCGCCTCAGATACATGGCCGTGTTGTACTCATGGTGTGCGGCCAGGAGCGTCTCAAAAGGAGCACCCTCAGTCCCACTGTGTGCTTAAAGGAGGGTTTTTACGTAGAATGTAGTCATCTTGGAATTACACTTCCAGTGTCTTAATTTTTTATACTTTGAGTTTTTTAAAATTGGATACTTATGTTGACTTTTTTTCATGTTATGTGAAATATGCTGCCATGGGATATTGGCAGAAGCGGTGGGCAACTCTTCATAATTGCTTAGAGTGCCCAGCTGTTTCTGCATCTGTGTCAGGGATGCTTGGAATCAAGACTGTCCTTTCATCTTCAGCTACCGTGGGGACAAAGGATAACTCCCTGCCCCTCCTCCAGCTGTCGGGCAACATCACTGTAGCTGCCACCGTGGTTGTCATAGTGGTAGGGTGGCCTTGTCACCTCCCTTATACCTGAAAACCTCCCCCACTAGTGCTCTGTGGACTGGGTCTGACAGGAGAGCAGTGAGCGGGAGGGGACCGGGAAGTAGTCGCCCATCACTGTAAAATGTAGAGCATTCGTGTGTTTTAAGATGTGAAAATGACTAAAGACTCGAGACCTACACAAGGCTGTTGTGGCCTTAGGTGTGGTTGTGCTGTACAAAGATGTTACACATTTGAACTAACACTTGTAAGTTGGTATTTGTTAAACCTCTTTATAAAAAGCTTTAACAAAAAGATTTTTTTGCCTCATTTTTCTCATTTGCCTTTATGTTGGGTTTAGTGGCTGCTTCCAGCATTTCATTAAGCAAGCGGCCATACGATGATACTGCCCAGGTTTAAGCAGACTGCTGTCATCATTCACCCGAACGGCAGAGCAGTCTGGGAGTCCCGCTAGCAAGCCAGTGTCCTAGTTCCTACGTGGGGGATCTGTGGGGGTGGACCACAGCAACATGCCCTCCCCCTCCAGTCCACATTTTATACTAAGAACCTTCGTGTCTGTAGTACAGGGGTTAAGAGTGAATTCAGTGGCGTTTCTGGTCACTGTTGGACTGAATATAAAACACAAGTGTCTGAAGGTTACCTGCTGGTGCCATGGAAGAGCCAGAGGTCATCCCCCTCCCGGGAGTAGACTCTTACACACGTCAGCGTTAGGGCACTCTGGGCAAGTGGCATGACACACTTTCTCCATAAGCAGGATTAGACTTAGTATGAAGATGAATGTCTCTGTTAGGAGACCAGTAGCTTCTGTCCACGGACCTTAAAAACAAACTGAACCATTTTTTTCCTAATAGGAAAGATTTGATTCTGTTATTAAATACTTGGTAAACTAAAATTACTAGCAGCAAAGGCACTGTTCTAAAAATAGAGAAATTCTATTGACTATTAGGCTACATTTATATTTAACCTTTATTATTACATTTTAGAAAGCTGTACATTTTTTAAAAAAATTTGCAATTTATAAATAGAAAAAAAATATTACAATCAAATCTTGTCATTAGGTATGAGAAACTATGTACTATCAGGAACTCAAGCCAGCTAACAGACTGACTTACAGAAAAGAAAGCTGATGCATTGTGTTCCTTAAGAATACAGCTCACAGACAGACTTGACACTTTCAAATGGGGTAAAGTTACAATATTAAATAGCTAAGGCATTTCTCTATTATTTTACAATGCTTTACCACATATTAATGACATTTAAAGGATTCACAGGTGAATAACTGAGTGCTGGAATCCAGGAAAAGTGCTGGTATGATGAAAGCACCCCTACCCAGGGCCGTGAAGGTGGTGATCCCTGCCTCTCCGCATGCAGGAAACAAGGTGGTTTCTTAAGGGCTCCTGCCTTCTGGAAACTCCCTGGAATGCACCGTTTTAGTTGGCTGTTTTCAGGGGGGTCTTTCGGAGTGACCTCCTGCTGGAGGCTGGGTTGTCTTTATTCCTGGCTGGAGACTTCACATTCCACTGCTGTGGCTGTGGAGGCCTAGGGGAAGCAAAGATACAATTGTTGTGGAGCTAAAAGAAAAAAACCTTGATGAAAACATCTACTGCAAAAGGACCTCTCAGTAAACTTACGGTTTATCAGGCAACGATAAACATAAAATGTCATTCCCTTGACTCTGGGCTTCCATTTTCTCTGAAAGGGAGTCAAACACAAACAAATTCAGGCATCCCAGAGCTCCAAAGAGGATGGATGTGTGTGATGGGAAGGGGACTGAGAACTTGCCTTTGCCTGGAAAAGGAGTTGGTGGTGTGGCGATGTAGCTGACCCCTGCTCCAAACGTAACGTCATTGATGGTCTCTGGAAGAGGGGACACAGCACAGTTAATGAAAGGCTGGTAGAAGAAAACGCCGTACACCCTGTCACCTGGGTGAGGTCAGCTTGGTCATTCAGTCTCTACATCAAATGCAGCAGCCCTGTCTGGCCTCAGTTTCAATGAGCCCCTTCCGAAGTGCTCAACACTCCTTTCTGCTGGCAACTTTCTCCTCCTTCCCATTCATGGTACTACCTCCTGCCTTTCAACAGGCAGCAGAGTGGTTACAGAGTTCTGCTGGACCCTGAGCCTTCACTGTTTGCTGTCTCTGGCGCCTCACCCACCTGGTGTCTTTAGTCGCTGCCTATATGGCAGTGATTCTTCCAGCCAGTGCACCCCTGTGAGTCCTACATCTCCAGCTGGATCTTACCTGCATTCCCTGATGCCTCACCACTCAATCTCTGCTCTTCAACAAGTTCCTTCTCTAGCCCCATCCTTTCCATGGTCTGTGCGAGCTGGAAGCACCAGGCATCATTAGCTGCTTCTCCCAGCCTCGGCACATCTTCCAAATCTCATCTGGTTGCTCCTATCCTACCTCACGAGGACTCTCGCCTTGACCTGTGAGAGCGATAGGCCTTCCTTCCCAGACTTCGCGCAAGAGGCAGGAGAGTGCAGAGTAAGGACACAGACTCTGAATCAGACTTGGTTTGAATCCTAGCCCTGCATCTTACTATCCATGCTCTAAAATGGGGATACAAACATCCCTCATAGGGGAGTCATCAGGATTAAACAAGATGATTTACGTTAACTCCTTAATACCACCTGGTACAGGTAGGTGCTTAAAAGATGTAAGTAATTAGTAATACCTTAGTGTGGTGACTGCCCTGCACACAAGCAGCCTGAAGGGCACGGTGTTCAGAGGAAGACCTGAAATCCACCCTCTGGGCCAACAGGTCGGTAGCGCTAGCCCGGCCCTCCAAGACCCACTGACTGCCCACAAGACAAAGGTCGCTGTCCCCAGGATCTTCCTTCTTTGAGTAGGTGCTGCTCTGTTGCCCTGGCTGCACATGGGGCCCTTTGCCTCCCTGACCCACAGCAGACCATCCTTGATTCAAGGCCTGGGTGTGACACCTTCCCCAGGGACCTGTGCGCTTCTGTGCACCCCTACCCATTTTGCATGAGCTGCAGTCAGAGCTCAGGCCCAATTGTGGCTGGTGGCCTGTGTTGTCCCTCCTGCCACAACACTAGTGGAGCGGGGGCACTGCTCCTGGCCGCCCTTCCATGACACTGACCTTGGGAGTACTGACTGCACTTTTCAACTCTGTTAAAAGTCCCTCAGAGCATCATGCCGGGAGGTACACAAGAGAGTATTTTCAACACTGCCATTCAGACAACTCAGTTCAGCTTAGCCCTGCTTTCTGGAAGGTCTCCTTGGGACAACAGTGAAATTCCCTGGCTTTACACATTCCTTTTTCTGTCTGGAAGCCTGTGCAATGTCTCCAACCTTCACAGAAGTTCCCGAGCACTTAAGAGCGAAAGGCTGATGCATCTTTGCTGCTTGCATTACCACAGTAAAAAGGATCTGCTTATAGACTAAGTTAAAATCTAGCTCTGAAAAGAACTTATTTCCATTTAGCAAAACCACTCTGTTCATGCTCAGTATCACTGGGGTGCCCAAAGAATGGGGCATTTTTCTTACTGGCTTCATAGAATTGAGACCATTTCCCAACAGTCACCTACCTAAACACAGCATTGTCAACAGAATGTCGACACAAAGAAAAAAATCACAAAGGAAAAAATCACATAAATCACAAAGAAAACAGAACTGAGTGTTTTTAAATTCTCTAATAATTCCCCCAGAAGCACAGCTAACAGGTGACCCTTCCTCAAGTACTTCCTCTTGGTTCAGAATGAGAGTGCCCCGGGGAATTTTACATTCAAAAGCCTACAGAAAGAAAAGGACTCTTGATCAGTGGACACATGGAGTCTTATCAGTGCAAAGACGGCTTCACACATGCAGACTCAGGCAGCGTCAGTGTAGGGGGCCAGGCCTCACCACTGGGGAGCGCATGCTGCTGGGAAGCCAACCAGGCTCAAGAGGACACACGAAACACATAAGAGGCATCCTCCCCATTTCTTCACATGAGGTACCTAACTCTGTGGTGCCCCCAAGCCATGAACATGGAACTCAGAAAACTTCTGTTTGAGAAGTTGAATTTTTTTACATACATAATATTACACCTGTTCTATCACCAGAAACCCCAAATTATCTACTGCTTTTAATGGCAATAGGTCAGAATTCAGCTGTCCTCTGGGAGAAGTGAGGGAGGAGTTGTGTTCATCCACTCACTTCCCTTAAAAGGGAAACTTGGATAAAACAACCTATGCTCCGGTACATATTCTAAGATCTCACAGGGAACAGAACTGCCAAAGGAGCTAGAACACAGTGCGTGCCTGGTAAGCTGGTACTGCCAGAGTGCAGGGTGACACTCTGCTGCCCGCCCCATATGAAGGAGACTGTTCTCATCTAACTGCAAGGCCCGAGGTTAGTGCTGAGACAAGGCAGTGGAAGGAATACAGAAATTAGAAATCAGAAAACCTAGAAAGGGCAAAACAGCTTATGAATGAAGTAGGGACAGTGAGTTATTCTGAAGTGAGTGCTGTTGAGAGGGTGGTGCGCCAGGGAGGGTCTGTCCCCACAGGCTGCAGGAAGGAAGTGACCCCTGACAGCCCGGGGCTGTGCGGGGTGAGAGAGGACCTGTATTGGGTGCTCAGGAAGGTGACGGTGGTCAGCACCGAGCACGTGCAGAGACATGCTGGGGGGGACTCTGCAAACCACACTGCAGATACTGGGCAGTAAAATGTCTTCATAGTACAATTCCTCAAAACAATGATGACTGAGTTTGAGAAAATAAACTGAAACAAAGTAACGGGCGAAGTTATTCCTAACGCACTTCTCTTTTGAAATCAAAGGAAGGAGTAGGAAATTAGGAAAAAGTCACACAACAGGCATGAGCAGACACAGGACCTCAGCATGGTGCAACCCTCCACAGGCCAGTGTGTTTGGGGTTGAACGTCACAACGTATAAGGCGTCTGCAGCGCTGATAACCTGAGCGCTGGCTGAGCACAAGGGCAATCTGGAGGGTGGGCAGAGGTGCTCAAGAGTCTAGAATGGCAGGAACAGCACTGCCTAGAAGCTACCTGCGGCTCTGTGATGTGCTTCCTCACCTACCAAATAAGGACGCCCACAGGGCAGCTGTGAGTTTACATCCAGCTGGTGGTCAATCACTCGGGTCACTGTAGTTACTAAGTTTGTTCAGTCTGAGAAAACGCACTGGGACACTGTTGAGCACCACCACAGCTCTTACCCAGTCAAAGAACTTCCCTCCAGTAAATGCAGCAGACACTTGTCCCTCTTATCCTTACTTACTCTCAGGAGTGCTGATGGCCCGTTTGGCCACGTGGTCAGTTGCTCCATTGGAC